GTTAGCATATTGCTTTCTAATGTTCAGAATCCCGTCTCCTCATGATTGAATCACATGAGAAAAAAAGAAAAAATGTAAATAGTTGTATATGCTTTTTCTCTTAATGAGAACGAACTTTATAATAATATTTTAATGTATAATAGCTACCAGCATGTAATTTACATTGATCACAATCTGCCCCAGTAGGCTTTCCACATACAAGACAGGATTTACAAAATTTTGACAAATAATGCTCCCAACACCCCTCAGCTCTATGACAAGATCTGTTACATAAAGAACCATTATTGTGAAGATATCGGCAAGTATAAAGTAGCATTAGTATAAAATATCTCTTGTATATTATTAATTAATTATTCATTAAATATAACAAATTTTAATTTAGAAAAAAACATGGTTATATATAACAAACAAAAAAATGATACATTTATTATAACTGAACAAAATATTAATATCAATTCTGTTATGGCAAAAGATATTAAAAAGACATTACTTGGAATCTTAAATTCAGCAATTCATCGAAAATTTAAAACTGATAGCAAATTTATTAAAGATCATCTTAGTTATGTAACTAGATTACAGTCGGTAAAAGAACCAGAAAAATATATTTGATATAAAGCAAGACAACTCATGCCAGATGAGACATCATACAATAGAAGAATAGAATATATTCATGGTCACTATTCAGAAGAATTATGTGAAAGACTTGAAAAATTTTATAAGCTTTATTACGAGTTAGCTCAGGAGGAAGAAAAATATGAAATTTCTGAAATAGATGCAAGCGAAATTATTAAGGGTCTTCTCAAAATATCTATCAAATAACTAATATTATCTTTGTCTAAATAGAAAGCATGATAAAAGTATCTAACCAGTATGAATACACTATAAAAAAATTAAAAGAAATAGGACCAATTAATATTGATGATTTAAAAATAATAATCCATTCAAGTTAGTCACATACGTATAACGCAAATCAAGTCATGTTATAGCTGAAAGAGAGAGCGATATCATATGTGGATCAGCATAGAAGCATACAAATCCTGTGTAACTTTTTTTTTTTGATATGAATTTTTATCAGAAACTGTTACATATGTAGCTTTGGAATCTCTGCAATCTCTGAGATCAATGACTCAAGATCTTATACGTAGCTATTTTCATTTTGGGAAAGTAATTGAGGAACGGTATAATTACTACAAAAAAGATTATCTGAAGCATACGTCTGAAGGAAAGATTTCTGATGAGATTAGAAAATAGCTTCCAAATTCGGTTAGTGAAAGCTTACTTCGAAAAACAAAAGAAAGAGCCCTGAAGATTTATGATTTATTCAATGAATTAGGGGAGGATAAGATTAAATGAATTCAGACTTTCACGGCAATAACACTAGCAAATATATCTCAGGATGATATTAATTACGTATTAGCTAAGATTTCAGATAAATTAATAATCACGTGATATTGTGATTGCTTGTCACAATCTATGTAATAAATTTACCGGGTTTTTATTTTTTAACTGATTAACGCGCATCAGTATGTGCCAGTTTTAAATGCCAAAAATAAATTGCTAATTGATGCACAATATTAGTTTGACAAGTATCAACTTAATGTACTCCATATAAATCTTTTACCGATTATCAATGATATATTTTCCTTATTTTCATTATGAGGATATGGATCATTAAATTATTCATATCGCCATTAGTAAGGAGAGAAATATGACATAATGTTTCTGCGGTTTAGACCACTGAGCTATGAGATATGAAATAGTTAGCAGAATTCACCTTAATTTTTTTGATTGTCAAACTATACTACAAGCGTCTACCGATTTCTTTACTATTCACTTTCTTTTTCATGCTTCTTACTATTCATGATATTATAAAAAAATTACAATTGAATAAAAAATATAATTTTAAGAAAATATCTAGGTTTATTATATAACAATATCATCTAAACAAGCCAATTAAGCAAGCATCCGCAAAGATACGCAAGTTAGACTTGCAGAACTTAAAGGAGTAGTATTGAATACGATACCCTATCCACATTCTAATACTATTTTAACTCAGTATCAAGAAGAGATTAGAAATCTCGAAAAGAAAACTAATTATCAATCAGAAATAGATTCTATTGACAAGTTAGCTGACTGGTTAGCTGGACCAGAAAAAGATCATAAGCCAAAAGAATCAGAATCAGTTCCTACTACATTTGATGAATGGGTAGATAAACATTTATGGTTGGGAAAAGAAGATCCGGTTTGATATATAGATGGATCAATTACATAGTTCTCAAGATGTATTTCAAAATTAGTACCCCAGAAAAAGCTAAATAATTATGGAATAGAGTATTAGAAACTTTCTCCTAATGCCAATAAACCACATATTACATATGAATATACTAATAAAATTCGTAATCTGATGGATGATGATGAGGAATATATTATTGGGATTGTTAATAGTTAGGAAATAGGTAGAATGGAAAGACAAATGCAATTTGATGATAATAATATACCTATAGGTTTAAAAGAGGAATGGGTTCCAGAAGAAAAACAAGAATGGAAAATGGAGTCTCATGGATGGATACCATCATTTAATGAATATTCTAATGGGAAAATCAATATACATAAGCTTTTAATAATGGATCAGAGGGCATGGTTATCTTGGAAAGATGAAAATATAGATTCAAATAAAGATGGAGACTATTATTTAGAAGGCCAACCATATGTATTGCGTTACCAATTTATGGCATGTTCATGTCAAGATTTATTTGGTCCAGGTATTCATAAAGATGGAACAGTTTGGTGGCATACTCAATTGCCAGTTCATGTTCATCATAATATGATATTAGAAATTCGGTCATTTCTTTATTATGCTACAGAATATACACTCTTTACTAAAATCTGGAAATCAGATAGATCTGTAGATGAAGAGATCGCAGATAAGGGCTGGCATTTTGATAAGAAAAAAAAGGCTGGCAGTCTCACTGGGGAAGAAATCACTCCAGAACAACTTATAGGAATTGATCAATATCTATAGACAAAGACTCGTGAATATGTATCACATATTTATTATGAACTTCGACCAGTTCCAATACCACAAGGTCCACTGGGTCCATTCTACAATAGTGATATAAATTGTATTGTTGCAGAATTATAACGACAAATTAAGCAAGGAGGAACAAAGCGAGCTATAGGGTTAATGCCGGTCCGTGAAAGTGCCCTTGTTAAATTTAATGAAAAAGTTCTGAATTCGGGTTGTACTTTGAATGACTTGCATGATCTTGAAAAGCCAGAGAAATCTGAAGGCATAGAAATGAAAATAGTCATTAAGGATTTCTTGGGAAATGAAATATGGGATAGTGGTAAATATCTCAAACAGTGCAAACTAACTGTATTTTGTTATAATAACCATGCTTGGAAGGGTGATATTTCCGAAATGCCACAAGTATCTTCAGTCTGCTATATGAATTTAGAATATGAAAGAGCACTTGCTTCCGCATGTATCAAAACTAAAGAAGGAAAGGTTAACATCAATGATAAAAAAATTGCAGAAGCACTTATATTATTTGTTACCAGAAAACTCCCGAAAGCTACAAGAATATGGATTATAGGTAAGGAAATTTTAACACATGAAGGTTATCTCTATTGTAGCTATCATGAATGGAAAAAATTAATTAAGGCTTTCGAATATGAAAAATCGCAATTCATACCTGAAGAACTTTTAAAATGGGACCTGACGATAGATATTCATAGATGGATGGAAGGAGAATATCATTCTACAGTACTAATTTCTTCACAAGAGCTTAAAGCAGAATATAATGAACTTGAAAAATTCCTGGGAGGTGCACAATCTTACCGATTTCATTGCTGGTGAGAAAGAGAAGGTATCAAGCCCACATCTAGGAATATTGTTGAAATTTGGCAACAATCTCAAGTGGAATCAATGGTATAGAATGTCCCAATAGATCCACCTCCTAAACACATTCATATTGATCTTTGTGAAGCATATCTTGATTGTGAAGATTCAGAATGGAGTGTATCAGAAGCATTACCTTGGGTAAGACAATATGAATTTCCAGAATGAATATAACGATGTGCTTGCGTTGATAATATTGAAGCTATCCATTGCTTGACTGGCATTGTTCAGCTAGTAGCATGGGAATTTGCCAAAAATCTCCATCTATTTATAGCAGGACTTATTGAGCAACATCTCACAGAAAAGAAAGACTGGATTCTGACACCTCTTATAGATTACCTGCTTAATGCTGGATGGCTCATAAGTGCAACTCCAAGAGAAATCATATATAGTGTAGGCAAAAAATCCTGCATTGAATTTTCACCTGATCGTGATATAGCAGTTCATTTCGTGGGATCGTGTGCTCGTAATACACAAGTTACATCTGTTTTAATTCGAGACAAAAATGAGGCAGATATGATTCATCAATGGTTAGCAAGAAAAAAGTGTCGACCAAACTGAACAAGTAATGAGCATGGAATCCTAATAAAATATGAGAGGGATAAAAAACATGCTTAATAATTGCATATCCGCTCTTTTATTCTTGCCTATACTCACATTGCTATACTCGAACAGCTGAAATGCTTCCCAGTTGAAAATGTATTACGAATATGTACTGATGCAATTTATACAACAACAATTCCTAAAACTATTTTAGATAAGAGTAAACTTAAGATCAATTTTGATAAAAAGCTCTTTGCTAATGCAAAAAATAATATAGAGTTAGAAGAGGTTCAAAAAAGATACAATGCGGAAGTAGATAAAATAAAAAAGCAATATGAATCTGTAATAGTTTTAGATATTCCAGAAATTAAGTATGGCCAGTGGCGCAAGAAAAAGCCAGGTTATATCTATCACAAAGAAGTATCATCCTGAACTATTAATTATAAAGATATATTAGAGTTTCTTCCAAGCGAAGCACCACCTCTTTCTACTGATTCAAAATTAATTATATTGTGAAAATCCTACTTAGTCAGCCAGGAAGGAAGTAGAAAAACAATATGAGCTATCCGTGCATTTCCTAATCAAAACATTATGATTCTCACTCCAGCAAACTTGCTTGCTGAGTATCATAGAAAGCAAAATCCAGGCTTAACGGCCATGACGTATCATAAGTATTTCCATTTGGGTGTAATTGCAATTGATGAGTGGGATCCTGCATATCTCGGAAAGAAGATGCTTGCTGAAATACTAATCTTTGATGAAGCATGCATGATACCTAAAAAAGTATTACAGAGATTATTATCTTATGCCAAAAGCTGAGACTGTTAAATAATTATGTATGGTGATCTAGGCCAACTTATATCATGAGGTGACAAAGAAGGTCCACATGAATTTCTTACAAAATGGGCTGACGAAGTAATCTGGTGTATGGAAGACTATCGTGTACAAGATGATGAACTCAAGGCATTAAAATTACGTATGTGGATGAAAAATAATATTACTCAATTACTAGAATTTTATAAGACTATACCTAAAACAACATGGGAAAATGCTCTTGCTCAGTGGACTCCAAATGATATCTGGATTTGTTCTACAAATGATATGGATATGCAAGTTGAAAGTGCATTATTACAAGCATATGCATCGCACTTCCCCAATGAGCCTTCAGTTATTCATTTCAATCCAGATGATAGTATTAAACATAAATATTATATTCAAGAAAAGCCTGTACAAATTTCAGGTAGCATTGAAATTATAGAAGCATATGTTAGTACTATAGTAAACGTGCTACTTGAAATTGTATTGTGCAGACTTTCTGCTGAATGGAAATATGCTGGCTGGAGAACAGTTTATCGAATTCAAGAACAAACAATTGAGGTACCAGAATGTTGCTTTATTGTAGACCATAGTCTGAGGGGTTAGATCAATAATGCTGTATATACAGCTTGCAGTCATGTATGATACATGAATCAATTAATCTGAGTTGCACTGCCAAATGATATACTCGAATATATTGAGCCGACTGAACTTCAAGCAACTCCTTGTCTACAAATAATTGAAGCAAAATTAAGATGTTATAAGTTGGATGACCGCAAAAAGAACCAATATTTTCCAAGGCCATTTATGATAGTCGAGGACTGGAAGGTAGACAATAAATCAGATTTAATAGAAGATTTTATAGTGTGCGAGAAGTCCCTCTTTCTAACAGAAAATGATGAGGAAAATGCTATTCCTTCACTCACAATAAAGGACATTATAGAAATTGCAATTTAGCAGGATAAATATTGTAAAGTATGTCGTGTTCCACTTCTATTCCAAGGCTATCCCAAGCACCATCCACAGTTATTTTCGGTTGATTAGCTTGATGATACTGAAGGACATTATCGTCAAAATGTAAGAATTACTTGTCTTCGTTGTAATGAATGGCATCAGTACTAAATTTTGTAGGAAGCAATTGTGATCGAGTAAATTCATGTTTTCATCCTTCGATATAGTAAAGTGTAGGTTGTCCTGGTTCTTGGATTCATCTTATAATAGGAAAAATATTTTTTGACCAGTAATAATCTGTCACTCTTCTTTTTTGAAATGGAAAATAATTATTAGTAAGTATATATCTTACTATTATACCTAATGGAAGTAAATCATTTTCAGGTGGAGCTAGCCGAGATTTTAGTAGAACTTTTTTTAGAAGATGAGCATCTATAGGCTTCATATTAATGAGCTGAGTTTTTTCATTATTCATATTCATAATTGTTGATCAAAATGGCTTTACCCAATCTTTATTAATACGTTTAATAATCAATTCTTTTCTTTACATTCCCTTGAACAAGCGACGCTCAAGCTGGTTATGAAATGAATTTACAAAGGCTAGAGATACATAATGTTCTGGTTCAGCATGCTCAATTCGTGTTCCATGGCTCTCAAATAATATTGTAACTTCACCCTTCATTTCAGTATCTTGATCTACTTTCAAAACAACTGGCCAGTTAAGAAGGGAATTTGGATTATTATAAATATCTTCAAATGCCATAGCAACCTTACTACTTAGTTTACGTGTTAACGTCCGACTATCCTTGTATCTTGATGCATAGTCTATAATACAAAGAGCATAATAACGTCCATGATCATTTGGCATTTCCATAATATCAGCTTGATGTAAATAATCTGGATGTTGCTCAGTAAAATGGGTATATACTATACGTGGTGACTTGCGATGTAATTCTCCAATCAATTAATTATTAATCCAGTTATGAACCCTTTCTAATGAAGCTGAACCTTTAGGTAATCTCTCCCATAATGCTCGTGGATCAGGAAATATCGAATAATAAATTGAATATAAAATTTTGTCAAGCTGTTTATCTGAAAGAGGTGGTCAATTTTTATACCATTTTAAAATGTCAATAAAAGGAAAATTATAACCAGCTTTCTCATAAGTATCTTTCATTTTTTCAGAAGTTTGAAAAAATCCATTTGATTGATAGTATAATTTTGACAATATTACTTCTCATTTGGCTTTCTCGGTCTTAGATTTATCAATTTCTATAATTGGTTCTAATTCAGTTATATCACAAAATGCCATGTTTAATATTAACAAAATAAAATGTTCCAAAGACCCAGATCCAATCGTGGATTGCATATGTCAAGTACTGATAGAGAACTAGAGTTAGAGCAAGTCAATCAGATTTTAAAAGATGAATTATCTAACGAAGTTTCAATCAATAAAGCTAATGAGAAATTGATTAAGCGATTAAAACATGATCTTACTAATTGTGAAAGAGAAATTTCTCAAAAAGAATTTGCTATTGTAGCATCTAATGAAGAAAATAATGAGCTTAAGTTTGAAATCTCATCTCTGAAAAAAGATCTTTACCAAGCATAATCAACTCACGAAAAAATTCACCTGTCAGAGGAAACTTTTCTGATTCATATAGTTACTCAGAAAATCACGAAACAGATATGGCACATATAGATCCATTTGTAAATATTACTAAAGGATTAAATCGACTCGAAAATCATTTCAGGAGGCATGGTACACCATTAAACAATCCTGCTAATATTATCTAGGGTATGTATGGTACTTTAAATACTATTTGGACTAATTATCAAAGAAAAGATCAGGATTTAGATGATATCACGAATCAACGTGATGATAGAGATAATCAAATAGTCTGGTTACAGCAGGATGTTAATGGTTATAGACAATGGAATATCGCTTTGCAAAATCAAGTTAATCAGCTTATACTAGAGCGTGACAATTCCCAGAATGATCTTACTTTAATGACTGTAACTTATAATAATGAACAGGAGAAATGTCGTCGCTGGTGGGGGATTGCTCAAAAAATAGAAATGGAAATGCAATTACATGTTAATACTTTATTACTTGAGAAGTTGGCACTTAATTTTAAAGTTCGATGATATTTTCAATAATTACAAAGATATCATATACATGGAAGGGAATTGCAACTTAGATTGGATACATGTCGAGATAATTTATTTCTCAGTGATCTTCAGTTGAATCTTAAATGGGGTAAGTGGAAAAATCAGGCTCGAAATTCTGAGCAATTAATTTTAAATTTGAATCAACAAATTTTTGCATTACAGAATAATAATCCAAATCAAAACAATATAGCAACTATGGTAGGATATCCACCACCTATATTTAGTGGTGCACCTGGAGAAGATCCTGAAGACTTTATCAGAGATTTAAAAAGATATACAATAGCTAGTTGAATCAATGTAGCACCTGGAGCAGGACAGGCTGGTGGAAGAGCTGAATTGGATGGTTTATATGAATCATGCTTAACTGGTGATGCATTAATCTGGTATACAAATGAACACAAAGACTGAAATTATCAACTTGATAATATTCTTGACAATACAGGAATAGCAACTGTAACAGTATTCCGAGCATTAAATAATGAGGGATTAACTAGTATTAATGCTAATCAATTTCGTGGAGAAGCTTTAGTAGTTCGGAATAATGCTGGTGGAGATAATACAATTACAGGAGCTAATATAATTCCTGTAGAAGTTTGGGATGAAGATTGGTCAATTGCTGACGGTCACCTCACTCCAGCTGGAATAGCAGTTGTAGTTCCAAATGCTAATGGAGGAGGAAATGCTAGTGTTGTACTTCTGGGTATGACAATTGGACAAAAATTATATGAACTTTGATATAATTATACAATAACTAATGCATTAAAACAATCTGCTTTGTTTGATATAATTATACAAGGAACTATGTCAGTTCAACAATTTGCATCAAAGTTATGAAATATTGGTAAACTTGCTAGAATGACCCCTGTACAAATTCGTGAGTAATGGTTAAGAGGATTAGCACCAATGAATCAATATACTCTTTGTTCTAGTGGTATATTTTTCCAGACAATGGATGAGCAACTAAAAAATTTGGCAGAGCTCGAAGCATATGCACTTAGTTAAAGTAATGCATCTCAACAAGTAATACAGCAATCAGTTCCAGTTTATAATCAAGCTCCTGTAATACAGCAACCAGCTCCAGCAATATCATCACAACAAGTTCAATAAAAATCTATATCAACACCTCGACGTTGAAAAGCTACTGGAATTGCTGAATTTACCATAGATGAGAATGGAAATCCAATATCTCAAGCCAGACCAAAAAAGATTACACCCAAAGTATCACCAAAAGATACAGAAGAAATTCTTGCTTATAGACAATTAAAACTTATACAAGATGCTGGTTATTCTGACTTTGATGATTTTTTTAAAGCTCGTGATAATTATTTTAGATCAAAAGCTCATTTATCCAATAAACCACAAGTTCCACCCAAGCCAAAAAGATTAACTATGGCTCAGCAAAAACAAATTGACAACAAAAATGATGAAATGCTAAGTGATATGGCTTCTAGATGGTCTCTCAATGATCTAGTATCAAACCTTGCCGAATATGATAAAAATGAAGATGAAGAGAATAATTATTCTGAAGATTATAATGATTTAGATAACTATGAGAATAGTTACGAAAATAATTATGAAAATTTTGCTTATAATGCTGAAAGACCAGCATGATATATCCCCTATAAAAAAAAAGTGACACGTAGTTCTAGAGACACTTCCATCTCAAATCAAAGTTTAAATCCAGCTGTCTCTAGTCAAAATAATTCAGTATCACGTCCAAAAATGAGTAAGGAGGAACTTGCACAAGCTAGAATGATTAAACGTCAAGCTATAGCTTCTTTGGCAAATAAAGCAGTTATAGGAATGACAACACAAATACATATCACAGATCTTTTAAAAATGGTATCTCCTGCTATGCATGTTGAACTTCAAAAAGCTTTTATGGGAAAAGATGATATCTCATCTGAACCTATACAGATGGCTAATCTTGCAGAACAAGGATCTGAGATGCCACAAGCTACTGTTGCTTATGTATCTGGTTATATTGATAATGTCAAATTTAATAATGGTATTCTTGATACAGGATCAAATGTTGATATGATCGATGATGAGTTTTTTAATTCTCTTGGTTTTAATATTGATCAAAAGGCACGATTTCAAGTAAAGGTTGCTGGTTCAAAAACTATTTTAATTGGTGAAAAGAAAAATATTCCAATTTCTATTGGTGATATTACTAATCCAGGTAACTTTTTAGTAATAAAAAATTTAGAATATCTTATAGTACTTGGAATGTCTTGGATTAAGCAAGTTAAAGGTATTATAGATACTAATAAAGATCAATTTCAAATGATTATTGATGGAAAAACTTCTTATGTACCAATTCAAACTGAGCGTATTTGTAAATCTGAAGGATCATTATTTTGCAATAATTTAGCAATACAAGATTTTGAGTTAAAAAAAATCAGTAGTTCGTGATATGTCAGATAGAATCTATCACTTATGCTACAAATAATTTCGGTATCTATATATGTTAAAGCGATATTTTCAAACTATTAAGTGTAGAATTAACATTGATGTAAGCCAGCCTTCAGTTAAGTCTACTCAAGTCAACAATGGCATGGGCCAGCCTTCGAATGAGTCTACTGTTGAGCCTACCATTGAATCTGACAAAAAAATAAAAATTGATTAAAAATCAGATCTACTATGCTCCTCTATTTTTTTGATCTGAATAATTATTCCCATCTTCTATTTCAAGTTCATGAATTCTAACATATATACTTCCATCTCAAATCCAGCTTTTCATTATTTCAACACCTAGTACAACATTTTTGCGAGCTAAAGTATTACTAATTTCTAGTATTTTTTGCTTTGAAGCATCAATAAATTTTAGTCGTAATGCATCAGTTTCTTCTTTTAATCACGTATTAAATTTTTCTTCAGTATAAATAGGAGATTTATTTTGTGAAGTAGGGTACTTTATATTTAATAATGTCTGCACGTCTTGTAAGATAGATTCTACTGGATCTGAATTTTGCTCGATTATATCAGAGCTGTGCAAAAGTGTATTGGCTTTATTAGTAGGTAAGATTATCGATAATGAAGTAGATGATGGTTTTTTTCTGTTGCGAGCTTTGTATTTTTCATAAATTTCCAATGCATTACGTAAATGGTTTTCAATTTGATCATGCTTTTCTATAATTTGATCTAATGAAATTGGATTGCGTTTTTGACTAAGTAATTGATTATATGTTCGCTCTAATATACTTGGTGGTAGCTTATCTGTAATTGATTTATAGTCAATATGAAACATATTTAATAAAATTTATACAAAAAATTGAACAAAAAATTTAAACAAAATCTTTGAAAAATTCGAATTCATATTATAATAGAGAAATTTCTACAAATTTGGATAAATTGTACAATTATTTTTGTGTTAAATATATATTGTATTCATATAGCTTTTATGATAACAATTTCAAGTGAAGACAATAAAAATGTACCCATAATTGATTATGGTTCTGAAATCACCTACATTTTTTCTTTTTTTCTCATGTGATTCAATCATGAGGAGACGGGATTCTGAACATTAGAAAGCAATATGCTAAC